AAAACACTTGGAAACCAATAATTCACTTCTCAATAATCCATGAGTCAAAGAATCTCAAGGAAATCTAAAATTCTATATATTGAACAGGATGAGAATAAAAATACAATATATCAAAACTTGTGAGATGCAGTTAAAGTAATACAGAGAAGCAGATTTATGGCACTAAATGCATACATTAGAAAAAGATGTAAAGTCCGAAATCAATCATCGAAGCTCCCACCTCGAGGACCAGAAATAGAAGAGTGACCTACACCCTATCAGGCAGAAATAAGGAAAACAGAGCAGAAATCAACGAAATTGAAAACAGAGAAGCAATAGGGAAAAATCAATGAAACAACAAGCTGGTTCTTTGAAAAGATCAATAAAATTGACAAATATCTAATAAGACTGACAAAGAACAAATAAAAAAAGAAAGAAAACACAAATTACCAATATCAAAAATAAAGCAGGGAATATCACTACAAATCTTGCAGACATGAAACGCTAATAATGGAATACTGCAAACAACTCCACACACATAAGGTTGACTACTTACATGGTGGACAAATTCTTCAAAAAACACAAACTACCAAAATTCATACAATATGAAATGCATAGTGTGATTATTACTGTAGCTACCAAGGAAAACATTTTTTTACTTTAAAACTCCCCAAAATGCAATCTTTTGACCTAGGTGTTTTCACTCCAAATCCCACCAAACATTCAAAGAATTAACATTGATTTTAAACAGTCTTTTCCAGAAAAACAGAAGAGGAGGGAACACTTCTAAATTTACTTGATAAAGCTAGTATTACCCTGATACCAAAACCAAACAAAAAAGTATCAAAAAAGAAAACTACAGACCAATCTCTCTCACTAATGTCGATTTTTAAATCCTTGACAAATATTAGCAAATAGAATTTATCAATATATAAAAAGAATTGTAAACCATGACCAAGTATAAAACTGGTTCAAATACTTGACCATGAATCAGTGTTATCCACCATATCAATAGGCTAAAAAAAAAAAATCACACAAACAGTTCAATCGATGCAGGAAAAAACCCGACAAAATTCAAAACCATTCATGTTAAAATCTCTCAAAAAATTACAAACAGAGGGGAACTTCCTCCACTTGATACAGAGCATCTACAAAAAACCTATAACTACTATGATACTTAATGGTGAAAGGTGAAATGCTTTCCCCCAAGATCCAGAACAAAGCAAGGCTGCCTGCCCTCACCACTCTTATTCAACATAGTCCTGAAAGTTATAATCAATGCAGTGAGGCAAGAGAGGGAAATGAAAGTATATAGATTGGAAGCGATAAAATAAAAATGTCTCTATTCACGGATAACATGATTCATTGTATAGAAAATTCCAAGGAAACTACACACAAAAATAATACTCCCAGAAATAGTAAGTCAGTTGAGCAAGGTCCTCGATTGCACAATAAACATATAAATGTCTACTGTATTTCTATATAATAGAAAAACATGTGGACGCTGAAATTAAAAATATAACACCACTGCCTGCCCGGCATGGTTCAGTGGTTGAGTGTCAACCCATGAACCAGAAGATCACACTTTGATTCCTGGTCAGGGCACCAGCTTGAGTTTCGGGCTGGATCCCTAATGGGAGGCATGCAGAAGGCATCAGAATAATGATTCACACTCACCACTGATGTTTCTCTCTCGCACGCGTGCACTTCTTCTCTCTGAAATCAATAAAAACATATTATAAAATTTTAAATATATACATAATACCATTTACAATCACTCAAAAATTGAAATGCTTAAGTGTAAATCCAACAAAATATGTGCCAGACTTATATGCTGAAAATTATGAAACAATCATGAAAGAAAACAACCAAAATCTAAATAATTGGTGATACATACCCACGTGTCAATTCTCCTCAAATTGACATACGGTTTTAACACAGTTCCTATGAAAATCTCTGCAAGATTTTTTGTAGATATAGACAATATTATTTTAAAATTTATATAGAAAAACAATTTTGAAAATAAGAACAGAATTGAAAGACTTATTACAAAGCTATAGTAATTGAGACTGTATGGTGTTGGTGGAAGAATAGACACGTAGCTCAATGGAACAGAATAGAGAACCCAGAACTAGACCCACACAAATATGCCCAACTGATGGTTTTGACTGGTGGGAAGGCAGAGTGGTGCAGCCACTATGAAAAGCAGTATGGAGTTTCCTCAAAAGATTAAAAATGGAGCTGCCTTTTGACCCAGTGATCCCACTTCTAGGAATATATCCTAAGAAACCTGAAACACTTATCAGAAAGAACTTACACACTCCTATGTTCATAGCAGCCCAATTTACAATAGCTAAGATCTGGAAACAGCCCAAGTGCCCATAAGTAGAGGAATGGACNTTCTAGGAATATATCCTAAGAAACCTGAAACACTTATCAGAAAGAACTTACACACTCCTATGTTCATAGCAGCCCAATTTACAATAGCTAAGATCTGGAAACAGCCCAAGTGCCCATAAGTAGAGGAATGGACAAAAAAGCTGTGGGACATTTTCACCATGGAATACTACGCAGCTGTAAAGAAGGATCTAATACCCTTTGGGACAGTATGGATGGACCTGGAGAATATTATGCTAAGGGAAATAAGCCAGGCAGAGAAAGACAAACATCACATGATCTCAGTTATATGTGGAATCTAAAGAACAAAATAAACTGATGAACTAAATAGATCCAGTGACATAGAAGCATGGAACAGGCTGATGAATCTCAGAAGGAATGCGGAGGTGGGTGAGGGGGAGAGATTAACCAAAGAATTTATATGCATAAATGCATAACGCATGGACACAGAATAGTGTGGTGAAGGCCTGGGAGGTGGTGCAGAGTAGAAGGGGTCAGTGGGGAAAAGAAGGGGACATCTATAAGTCTTTCAACAATAAAGATAAATTAAAAAACAAAAAAACAAAAAAAAAACTACACATACAGGAAGACCCAATAGGAGGGAACGTGGTGGCGGTGTTGCTTTCTGCGGGAGTTGTGGGCCAGCAGGGCGTGAGAGATGGCGGGGGAGGAGGGCCGGGAGAGGAAGGCCCCGGGAGGAGCGCGGGGGCGCCTCGCCCCCTCCCGGTCACTGGTGGTCCAGTCCCAAGATGGCGGCCACCGTGAAGGAGGGGGCTGCAGAAGATGTCTGTCGGTGTTCCTTTTGAAGACGAACAAGAGATACACAAATTTGCACAGAACAGGTAGGATCACAGAGCTTAAGGAAGAAATAGACATAAAAAAAAAAACAACTCCAAAATTTAGAAGATTCCTGCGAGGACATCATGCTCACAGATGAACACTGCTTAATGGTACCTTATCAAATTGGTGATGTTTTCATTAGCCATTCTCAAGAATAAACACAGGAAATGTTAGAAGAAGCAAAGAAAAATTTGCAAGGAGAAATTGACGCCTTAGAATCCGGAGTGGCATCCATTAAGTGGGTGTTAGCAGATTAGAAAGTTCAGCTATATGCAAAGTTTGGGAGCAACATAAACCTTGAAGCTGATGAAAGCTAAACATATTAAAATTTGTTTAATAAACTTGAATATTGTTTAAATGATAATTTTCCTTTTTTTAAAAAAAATTCATTTGTTTAATGGAAACTTGCCTATTTTCACATCTTGCTTATTTATTTTATATTTTAAAAAGAAGACAGTATTCATCTATGTATTGTGCATAATGATTCTATCAAGTGTAGGGGGTTTATGGCATGTTATTAAAATCAGTTAAGCAATAAGAAATAAAAAAACCCTACACATACACTTATAATATGACCCAGCAATTGCACTCCTGAGCATTTTGCCCTAGAGAAATGAAGACTTATGATCACACAAAAACTTGTATACCGGTGTTTATAGCAGATTTATTCATAATAAACCCAAACTGAAAACAACCCAGATGTCCCTCAAGAGGTGAATGGTTAAACTACAATACATCGATATCATGGAATACTACTTAGCAATAAAAAAGGAATGAAATTTTGATATTTACAACAACTTGGACAAACGTCCACTTTCTTCATTTGTAACAAGGGAGAGGTGGTCTCAAGGGCCTTCCTGTTTGGGAATTCAAGATACAGATGAGCAGGATGGGACAGGATGAGAACATATTTGAAAGAGCTTAGGGCTTTTAAATTTTTAATTTAATTTTTAAAGAACTTTTAGAGACTCAAAATAATCATAAAGAAGTGCTTCCCGGGAATGCTAGGGAGCCCGTTTTGGAAGGTGGGAATCCAGGAGAAAATGAGTTTAGGGAAGGTGCATTCAGTTGTCACAAACCGAGAGGTCTGCGTAGTTGTAGTGAATGGCTTTAAGGAGAGTGGCTGTGGCCTTTTTACACTGAGATGGGACAGGGTGGATTTGAAACGTAAACTGAAAGAACTCTGTTCCCAGGAACGCAAGGAAATGTCTTTGTTCTAATACACAAAATTAAGGGTCCGCTAGTCAAGAGATTTGAAAAACTGGAAAAGGCTGCATTGCTTCCCGGACATTAGAAGTAATGTTAAGTCCAGCGTCACGGTACATTCAGCTGGTGGTATAATATTTGTCATGTGCTTCTCAAGCACGACCAGTGTCTGCGTTGTGTTTAGGCTTGGAAATGAAGTAGGGCGTAAGAGTCCATGAATAATTCTACAAGCCCAGTTGCTGCACATAACGTGCAAAGGCTGGATCTTTCAGGCCGAATTTCAAACCTCGTTAAAGCGGAAACACCTGTTGCTATGGTGTCTAATAGGGGCGTATCTAGGGTCTCCCAACAGCCAATCCCAGTGCCAGGCGTGTTTGGAGGCGTGGCCATAGGGACAGTGACCAATGGCAGAGAGGGCCATGAGTAGGGGGCGGGCAACCAGAGGCTTAAATGAACAGAGCAGCTGCCTCTGGAGGCTGAGGATCCGCTACCTGTTGGGCGGTTGGAGCTGTTAGTCGGAACTGTAGCGGGTACTTTTGCTGCCACCAAACTTAGGTTCTCGCCAGTCGCTAAACACTATGGAAGATTTGCAGCTTGAGTATCAGCGGATGGAACGACGCCACCTCCGCGAGAAAAAAGACCTGCAGGACCGCATCCAGGCCATGAAGAGTGCGGTCCCTAAGAGCGACAAGAAGAAAAGAAAGCAGTTGCTCCTTGATGTGGCCCGCCTTGAGGCCGAACTGGAGCAGAAGCATCAGCTGGATCTGGAGAAGTTCACAGAGCTTTTCCCTGCTAACAGCAACCTCGATTCCATCACTGAGGGTCTGGCCAAGATGGATCTTGAGAACCAGCCTCCTTGCCTCTCCAGAGCCCAGAAAAGGCGCGAAAGAAGGGCGGCGCTCCAGAGAGAGCGCCAGAAGATGGCGGCCGACGCCGAGGTAGGGTACCTGGCCAACTATCGTCGCGACGAGGAGGAGAAGCTAGCCGTCATCCTGGAGGCCAAGAATCTGGAGATGAAGGATATCCCGGCCGACAGCCACTGCATGTACCGCGCCATCCAAGACCAGCTGTCGTTCTCCGTGACCGTGGAGAGCCTTCGGGGCCACACAGCCAACTACATGCGAAAGCACGTCGACGACTTCCTGCCCTTCTTCAGCGACCCCGAAACCGGTGATGCCTACACCCGCGACGGCTTCTTTAACTACTGCGACAACATCGTGCACTGCGCGTCGTGGGGAGGCCAACTCGAGCTGAGGGCCCTTTCGCATGTCCTGCAGTCCCCCATCGAAGTGATCCAGACCGAGTCGCCTGTCCTCGTCATCGGGGAGGAGTACACCAAGAAGCCGCTTACCCTCGTCTACAGGCGCTACACCTCCAGCTTCGGGGAGCACTACAACTCAGTGAAGCCGCTGGAAGCCGGCGCCCGGGGGGGCGTCGCCCCGCGGTTCTTTTAGGCCTTTTTTGTCGCCGTCGCTGGCCGCCGCTGCCGCTGCTGTTGCCGCCGGACCCCGAGCCAAAGCCGCCGCCGGGTCTCCTCAGTAGGCTCTACTTTTTCCTTTGGCCTTCTCTGGTTTTCTTTTCTTCGTTTTACTCAAAATTTAACAACCTTTCGCCCCGCTTTGCCACCTCTCTTTCCGTCTTTGCTTCCTTCACGGGGTGGGGGACGGGGACTTGGTACAGGGAAGGTAACTGTATTACACCACTTGAGGGGGAGTCAGTTTGAAAAGTTCCAACCACATCTTGCCCTTAAGGGCTTTTGCCTCCCTGGCCGATGAGAATTGGTTATGTTACAAATAATTTGGGGATTAAAATGGAAACTTGGTTTGATGGCGTTCTTAACTTGGGAAAAAATCAGTTTAGCTCAGAATCTTCAGATTGTCCATGAATATATTGGATTAGTTAGATAAACTTGGCTTTTATGTACTCAAAATGCTTTGTGAATGTCTTTTGCCTAGTTCTTTGGGGGAAAAATGTATCGTGGGCTGTTTGAGGTTACTTTTTTTTTTTTTCCAAACTACTGTACACGTTGAAATAATTAATGACCTACTTCTTGTCTCCAACTGTAAGTTCCAATAATATCGAGATGCTTCTGGTTCCCTACATATGGTATTACCATTCATGACTGAATTTTGGCCTTGTCTCCTTTGAGAACACATCTATGAATTTCTGGAGAGGCTTCCTCCTGGGTGTTTCTGTCATACTCTATGTGTATCACCCTAACATTTGTTGTCTCTCTCCCTCACCTAGTTAGATCCTTTGGAGCCAAGACTGTGCATATTTATATCCCAGTAGCTAATACAGTGTCTGGCACATAATTGGTCCTCAATAAATATTTAGTTGCATCAAATGTCTCCTTATTGCTTATGGCACATCAAGTCTACACTCTTCTAGCTGACTGTACATCCTCCCTAAGGTGGGCCAGCCTACTGATTCAGTCTTGCTTCTTTTTACTTTTTAGCACAAGTCTGTTACGTGTCCATTTCCTCTTTTGTTTTTCAGTAGGTCTTTTATTTCCCCCTTTTGTAGTATAGTTTAGTGGTTAAGATCACAGGCTCTGGAAACTAGATTAAATGAAGTTGCATTCAAATCCCAGTATAAGAGAAAACTATTGGGCCAATTACTTTAACCTCTCTGAGCCACAATTTCTCATATGTAAAACAAGGGTATATATAACAACACCTATTTCCTATGGCAGTTGTTGAGAAAATGCATGTAAAGTACTTAGCATAGTCTCCTGGCAGGAAGTGAGTACTCAGAGATGATTTGGTATTATTATTATGCAACATTATTCATTTAACATTGAGCCCCTACCTAACAGGTGTCAAGTGCTGTGCTGAGGTAAACAAAGACATATAAGACACTCTCCTTGGCCTCAATATCTCAATCTAGTGAGACAACTGTGACTAAAGAAAACCGTAGTCCAATACTAGCATAGGGAGACAAATAAAGTGCTGTAACAGCTAAGAGTAGCACACCTCACCTGCAGGCAAAAGATAGGAAATGCTTCCTGGAGGAAGTGATCCTTGAGTCAGATCCTAAGTAATTAATAGAAATTTGCCAGGCAGACAAGGGAGAGATGGACATTCCAAGCAGAAGGCACGTCCCATGTTAATGCATGAAAGCCTAAGAGAATGTGATAGGTTTGGAGAACTAGGAGAGTCTCCTAAAGTAGAGGTTAGGATCTACGAAAGAGGGGGCAGGGAGGATGTTAGATCAGAAAGGATCTCCTAAGTCAGGTATGGAGTTTGACCTTTAAGAGAATGACCCCGCAGTGCCAGTTATTCCCTTCATTCTTACCCAATCACTATTTGATTATTTGTTTATCTGTCTCTTTTGTTGAACTATGGGCCCCTTAAGGGCTCAAACCCTCTGTCTTGTTCTTTGAATTCTCAGGGCCTAGCATTCAGGTAGCACACAATGAATGTGGAAAGAAGGAAGGGACTTCTGCAAAGCCACTCAGCTACTCAGTAGCAGAGGTAGGACTCAAATCCAGGTCTCCAGAGTATTTTTAAGTGCTGTACCACATTCCTCAGAGTTGGATATAGAAGTAGGAATTGAAATCTTTCATTTAATGCAAGCTTCATTGTATTGGAGTTTTTCCTTTCATGGCTTAATGTAAGTTCTTGACACTAGCAGGCAAGTTCAAATATCAATACCACTTAGTAAAGAGAGTTTCAACACTTAAGGATTAAGTAATTATTCCATAAAAAATTTTGGCAAATTACACTGTACACAATTTGATTTCATCTAGTGTTATTGCTGGTATTACAGGTACAAATGTCAGTAGAATATTACTTGCTCAAGAAAAACAGCACTAGACCCTCTAAAGCTGACCAAAGAAGGTCTAAACTGCCAACCAAGCGCCTCAATTCAGACAGTCAGGAAAAGGTCTACTTTAACATTTCTTTCCTGAACGTCACAATTATCCAAGATAATAAATATGTATTAAGATCCATACAAGACAAAAGAACATCCGTCATCTCTACCAGTGAGTCACATAAGGAAATACTTAAAAGGTCATCTCATTTCCATGGTTGTGCATAGATGATTTAAAATGCTTTAGACTATTCTGAACTCTAGTTTCTCCCCGTCCCAACTCACTCTATATACTGTTGCCCAGTTAGTCTTCTTTAGCTGTGTGACCTTGGGCAAGTAACTTCTCAGGGTCTCAGTTTCCTCAACTGCTAAATGAGGGGGCTGTGCCAGATTAGTGCTTTTTACACTGTTATTTAGAACCCTTGAGTCCCTCAGACACCCAACGTTGGTGTCATGGGTGCCGTGGCACCCACAGTTATCCAAGGCTAGGGAAAAGATGGGCTGAGTTGGCAAAGCAGGCTTCTGTGTATCCACTTCCAACACTGCAGCCCTTTTAGAAATCATGACCTATCTAAAACTTGATTTGGAAATTCTGCTACTACAAAAAGTTTAAGTACCATTATGCTTACATGATTTCTGAGGGCCCTTCCAGTTCCCCTAAACTAAGATTTTATAAAAATCTTCCATACACAACAGGGATTTAATGTGATAAAGTGTTCACAAATAGAAACACAATAAAAAACTAATTTATATTACTTTTTTTACTTTTTAATCTTGGTATCATCTCAAAATAAGATACAATGGAATGCTTATAATAATTCAAATATATAATATGCACTCTGAAAGTAACTGGCAACTCCCATAAAGACTGTCATTTCGGAAGCCATAGAAAAGATGGCTTACAAAGTTCAGGACCAAATTCAAATTCTGAATATTTTTTTCTCTTAGACAACAATAAAGATATGCCTTAATCCAAGCAAGTGCACAGGAACAAAATTTCTTTAATTTCACAATTACTGAGTTTTCAAGTCTCCTCCACAAGTGCTAGCTTACTTCTTTGTATCCCTGGCCAAGGCTGACCCTAAAGGTTGTTTACTAGAGTCATTAGAAGTGCCAAACAAATCAAATACTAGGTAATTTGCCAGAGTCTCCCTTCCCCCTCAGCTTGTAAAGTGAGGAGTTGCAAGGGGGAGGTTTATTAGAATCACCTGGGAGGCTTTTTTCAACCTACATTTGTGTTCCACTCTGCTCTCCCTCTTGCAAAGCATTGTTTTAGCTAAGGGCTTCATTCTGCCCCACATAAAAGGCCCTATCTTTTTAAATCCAGCTCAGTTTAAGATTGAGTAAAAACAATTGAATTTAGAAGACACTGGCTTTGTCACAACTGGTTGGGCAAGTCACTTAACTTTCTGGTGTCAGTTTTTTCCTCTGATTTTTGAGGTCTCCTTCCAACTTTGAAATTCTGTGACAGCATATCATGTCTTAGAAGCTGTCTGAATTCCTAGCATAGAATGACTTGTCATTTCTTAGTTTTCCAACAGCCTGTGCAATGTGACACATCCCCTAGTTATATACTGTCCTATATTGCCCTCTAGTTGTTTTTACATGAAAATTTTTTTCGCAACTACATTTAGTTTAAAAGCTTATTTTCCAGGCCAGCCAAGGTGCATTCTCCTTAACTTAAATCCCCTAGGACAACTTGGGGTGTGTCCTAAGGTAATCAGTATATATTTATGTTGATTTGTTCAAAGCAGTGACATCCCCAAATTATATTTTTACATCAGCACTGCCCAGAAATATAATGTAAGCCACAAATGTGAGCCCAATATGTAAATTTAAGTTTTCTAGTAGGCACATGAAAAAAGTGAAGACACACGTGAAATTAATTTTAATATATTTCACCCAATATATACAAAATGACAGCATTTCAACAACGTAGTCAGTGTAAAAATTATTGAGATATCGTATTTCTTGTTTAGTAATAATTTTTCAAACTCCGGGTGTCTGTTTTACATTTATAGCACATCTCAATTCAAAATAGCCACATTCAAGGACTCGATAGCCCCATGTGGCTAGTACCTACGTATTGAACAGCACGAGTTCTGCATAATTGGGCTGCTTTCCAAGCCCATCACTTATTTTTCTATTCATATAACGACACTGAGCACTTAATAACACTGGGCTAGCCAGAGGGTTGCAAAAATTAATCAGACTAATTCTGGTAAGGGATATAGATTTGTGGATGCACACAACTGTGCTTCGCTGGGGGAGGGCGGTGTCACGGAAAGTTTCACACAAAACTTTCGAAAGAAGCGTGTGGAGAGGAGTGACGTGGAGGGGAAGTGGGCGGGAGAGGATTAGGTGGGAGGATTCCCGGGGCTCCAGTTGTGGCTGGACACAAGCCTGAGTGGGGCGCCACTGTCACTTCGCCCAGACCTGCAGGCCAAGTGTGCGGCGCGGCGACTGGAGCCCAGGCTGCCGCGGCCCCTCGCTGGGAGGGGTAAGGCGCACAGCGAGCCGCGGCCCGCTCGGTATTCAGCCTCGCCATAACCGGGTCTCCGGGCCCACGGAATTCCTAGCCCATCGTCGGCGACGAGGAGTAAGCCGTAAAACAGCGCCGAGGGTTTTGCTCGTGCGC